AAATTATCTAAAGTTACCTTGTTGTCTGTACAACATTCGAAGGTTACGTACAATTGAAGGGAACTCGATATAGAAGTGCAAAAAGATCAAACCCTTTTCTTAACCGAGCTCGCCCCTGGCAGCAACGTTTGACCTTAAACTTTAAACATTAAATTACAATCTTTACTTGATGGACCCTTCAAAATATTGCAGTTTTTATCGTCTGCAGCTGTCTCTGTAATGAATTGGACTTTTGATTTGACAGTTGCACATTATCGTACATGACTCGATGTGAATTGATGTAGTCGAGATACAAAGTAAAAGACGTTTTTAGCGTTTGCTAATATTAACCCTAAACGTTCTAAGAAACAGTAAAGACATCCTGCAGACACTTAATATCGTCATTTGACGATGAAGTCTGTACAATAAACAACATTATTGTCCTGTACATAATGTATGTACAATAGTAAAGTAGGGCCGGAGGCGCGTGTGGACGTGACTCACTTACCGTGGGTGTCTCATTTCGTATGCGCAGGCGCAACGCCTAGGAAGTGCATTCGTGTTCGTACATTGGTATTACCTTGCGTAACATTCGGTGCAAAATCGTTATAAAAATGATTAATTTCACAATATTATGAATATCTAGTTTCAATGACCGCGCAGATTAAAATTGCGGTGCTTAGTCAGTGTTTCGTATTTATTTGATTTCAATTAAGCTAGAGGTAAATCTAACCAAACACGATTCTTGATTGACAACCATAAAAAAATAAATACAGTCATTGACTTTTCAATAGTTCCGGATTCTTAGATTGGATCATTCGACACTGTAATTTTCTTTTCGATTTTTTTAATAATTCAAATTGCCGATTTATTTGCTAAAATACCGTATTAGGTTATTGACCAGTATTTTTTTTGTCATGATTAGTTCCTCTCTTTAATGTAATTACTAAAAAACTTTGTTCTCGAAAGTACATAGTTCGCCGCGAATAGAATGGCGATAGTTTGATTAGCATTTAAACAGTGCCGATCGACACATTAAGTTATATGGACGGCAATAAAAATGTTAATCAGTTTAATTACGTTTCACCACGAGGATGTGTTTGTTTTGGTTTGTCGTAGTCGTCTTAGAATGCATACAAAATTAAAACCTTTGAATAAATGTACGGCACCCGTTACCAAGATGCAGATCACAAAAAATGCGGTTCCAATATCGGCCATCGTCCGGTTTGTCATATCACTTTCCATTAACGGTAAAATTTTACTACAAGTACGTGACTATGAAGTAATTAAAACGGTCCGCGTTTGACCGCTTAGCGCTTTTTTAACTGTAACCGGGGTTCTCTCGGAAAAAGTTGGCGGATGCCGAATTGACGACCTTATCAAAACACGCTGCGCTCCAGGGTCGATGAACTCGCGTTTTGTTGTTGTCCGATCTAGTATTACAATGGTTGGCGGAATTTCTATCGATGTATCGTATTATTGTCGTTGAATTCGCACTGCAATTGTGTACATCACAATGCTATTTCACATACCGATTATGTTCATTGGCCTCAGTACCAAGTACCATCTACTGTAAATGACAACGATGCATATTATTAAGCTTGTAAATAAATGAGGGTGATGACACTTGAATAGGCCTACGGTATAACAAGTTTCGATGACAGGCATATAATTTTATTGTTTCGTGAACCAGATCAAAATGTCGGAACCACCGTTAGGTGTGAATGTGCCGATAGCGGAAATACCTGATAGTTTTATGAGTACCCTATTGGATAGTTTGATGGTTTTCTTTAATGACACTGACGGTGCAAGAATAGTTCCTGGAAATAGATTACAAAGGCAGGAAACTTTTTTATGTGTAACTTTGCGGTTTTCTGTTAGCCGACGATAATGTATTATAGTATCTAGTTACAATAAAAATATCAATTTATCGCCTTAATTAATAAAAACGTCTATTCATTTTAAGCAGTTAACTGCTATGTAACACTTACAGCTTGAGTTTTCGTAATCAGTGTGATATTAGAAATGGAAAAACCCTATGATTTTTTTGCCGTTTTCCATATCAATTCCGAGAACTAATTGTTGGTGTTGTGTACGGTGCATCACAATTATCACATGTGACGACCACAACAAAGATAAAAATGCTTTTTAAGTATTTTCAAACAAAATTATACAATGGCACATTATGTAAAATACTGTTATGTCTTTTTTCTCACGGTATATAAAGAAATTTAGCTGTTTTCAGGTTTATACAGCCTAATTATGATTATACCGTTCTTCTATTGTTTACTAAAATACTTTATAGCCGGACCGAATATGCTACGAAATACCTACCAGTTTGTCGTAGCGATTTACAAAAGATGACTAGACTATGTCAAATTAAACTACCTCTATGTTTTCTCAGACACTATAATTTCGATTTTAAAAAACCAAAACAAACCTTAAATCAAAAACATTTCAGTTTAATTCGTAGTGACATTAACCAAGATTGTTATCAAAAGGAATTGTCATAAATCTCAAATTCGAGTGTACGAAAATTCTGCGTATAAACCAAGTGTTAACTATTCCTAGTTTTAGTGTTCAGTCGAATAGTTAGTGCCAGTGGTTAGATGAAATATGGCTTATAGGCGGACGTAACAACGGGCCAATTAATAACTATAATGCCTGCTTTGTTCCTGTATCGTTGTTGACCGAATTCGAGTCCAACTCGTGACCATGTGTTGAAAGACTAAGATCGTACGTTACGATTATCGTGCTCACATAAATTCGTTCAGTTATGTCGCTTTGTTTCGAGATTCGTTTGAGATTTATGCTTTACGAAATCAGGATTTAGCTGCATCATTTTAAAAAAGCTTTGTGTCAAAAAGGTAATCGTATCAGGTTTATTTTTAACTTCATTTGATGATTTTGTGCTTCAAAAGCTAGTAATTTTATTTTTTGTAAAGAACTGAAAACTGTAATCCGTAGTAAATGTGCATACATTTATAACATGTAAAAAATCAAGACAGCTGTGTCCTTAACTCACACACTGACTTCTATTATTAGATTTCAGTCTAGATTTATCATAGTATGAATACTTAAATCTTTTTATTAAATAGGTGACGTTATGAAGACTGTCAGTTAAGTTGATCTAATAAAGCATAAGCTTTGAAGCTGTTTTAGGTCAACTAGTTCCTTACATTGAACATTTGGATTAGAAGCTTGTCCCATAATTATGAATGGGATCTGACAGTCCTTTTATATGAAGTCTTAGAAACCCGTTCTATTGCGAAATAGAATAAAGGATATTCAAATGCTCATCAAATTCTCGATTTTTAATTCATATTTTGTATTTGAATCATTCCTGTTGGGGATTAATATATGAAGGTGTCAAGGCCATATTACGTTAAAGTATTACAGTGATCTCGTAACATCACCTCAGGCTGCTATTAGGTTCAATATAATAGTTTCACACATTGTCGCCGGTCTTATTGTAATAGTATTTAAAAATTAGCACTTGTAAATCTGGGCAGAAGGTTCAACATTTCTGAAAAAATTACTTTAACCTGCAAGTAAAGAACAATGATTATATTGATCATTTCCGTCTTTAAATGCCAGAAATGAAAAACTCACTGCCAAAAAATGCACTTTATGGATCATTAAATTGTCGTTCCAGGAGCTTGTAAAAGTTAATCTTCTGACGAATAACATCACAATAAATATAACTTTTAGGGTTGTCATCATAATAAAAATCGAAACGGTAATAACGGGTCACGTCCATTTTATGGATTTCCCTTCAATATCCCATAAACGGTGTTCAAAACTAGCGCAGTAAACATTTATTATTCATAATCATACCATAGAACTCATCTTCTCAATATTTTCCGATCAAAACGTTAATGTGCACGGTGAGAACATAATCTAAGCAATTACACTATTCTGTAGTTATCGACAAAACTAATTTAAATGTCTATAAAGTTTTATAAGCACTTCACTTAAGTATGTCTTTTATGTAATTGAACAGTCAACCTTTAAAGTCTGCGACAGTACATCCAGTCATTGGTTTTAATCCTAAGTGACCATTCAACGAGATTATGTCTAATCAAGTGACATGTACCTTTTATTAAAAGTACTGATATCGTAAATATAGCAAACCACATTTAGCTCTTGTTTGTTTTTTCTGCGATGAATTTATGGCCATAAAGATACAATCTTAGGGTCTTTAGTTGTTTCTTCCGTATTCTGTACGCCTGCATCACTCCGCAATTATCTGAGAATGCAAATAAACATTAATTGTTTATTACCACAATGTTGTTTATATTGCACTGTTTTAAACCTACTTCTGCCGGAGTGGGTCTTAAATCTGTTCTCAGAAACAAGGCTTAACTATCCAATCACGACTACTACCATTTAATACTCCCCACAAAGTTGCAATCCAATACTAAATGGCAAGCTCTAGATTAATATTTACAACTGGATAATTCCTTTCGTGCATAAGGGTCGCGCTTCACTGATGTGGAAAATATCGCCGATTTACATTATACGATTCGTAGTAGTCCTCAGTAGTAGGTACATACATTCATATCCCGAAGCATCGAAGCGCAAACAACTAATGTGAAACGCACCTGTTTATCTGTTCCATTCCCCACTGATTCCAATTTCACCGCTAGCTTAATCGGTTCAAGGGGAATGACTCAAACTAGATAAGCAACCGACGGAATCAGGTGCTTGATTATATTTCAGTTATCGACTGAATAGTGTTAATGAACTTCACAAGGCCAAAGCCTCCTCGAGATAACTCTATAAAACCTTTTAGTTTTATGGATTCCGATTCATTCCGCAACAAAATAATTCGATATCGAATATCTTTACGACACTCGAGTGGCGAACGTGTACTTATATAGTACAGTCATAATTTTAACATTTTAAATAATCCAGCCGACGCAGACCATGCCCTAGGCGTCTGTGGAGAGGATAATGCACCAATACGTGCACACTGACCTGATGTGAATGGAACGATATGTGCTAAACTAATTACAAAAATGGGAAGCGGAAAGTTCGGTTTTCAAGTTAAAAAGGACAAAGTGAACATGGTAGCTGCAAAGACTGAAATTAGTGTTAAGGAAAAATGTCAAAAAATACAGAAAAAACTAAAGAAGACTGAAAATAAGAAGACTGAAGATAATACACGAGAAAAACCTATCTGGTGGAACCAATGTAACAGTTGTAAGTTGATTCATAATATTTTTTGTGCCAAAATGTAATTCATTCTCATCATTCAAAACTGTACAGAAATTGTGATATTTATTGTTGTAAATTAAATCTATATGGATATTGGGCATAGTTTAAAATAACTTGAGGCATATAATAATTTTTCCAATGTAAATTACAGGGTTAGTTTAGAAAATATTTTCCCATGAACCAACTTTTCTATTAACAATAGGTCTATACAAAACTGGTAGTTAATAGAAATGAAAGATTATACTAGACCTAAACAATATAAAGGAACAATAGAAATTACTGGTTTGCATTAATTGAAGAGTACCTAAGGACCTCTTGAAGGGCCGTCATGCTTGTTACGCCCTTTGAATGTTCAATGAGGGGAAATTGGATCACCAAGGCTCTAACTTTTGAAATCGTTGAGTACACTTAGATGTACAAACGACAAGGTATCGAGGGCAACATGACCTTAAACGTCGCCTTCAAATAATTTGAGCCCTTCTAATGATTGAAATGGCGATTACGGCATTGACTTCTGCGATTTATATAACCCTGCCCCTTAGTTTGTAGTTTTGATTTTGATTTCATATTGGTATAGTATTTTAGTGTTAGGTTAATAACATCTGTATACAATTTTAAAAATACATATTATTATTTTGCGGTTTGACTTTATTATTAGGTCACTGCATAATATTATTAGGTCAGTTGCACCGTGATACGGGTTTCGCGAGGAAAGTCGATGGATAACACTAGATACCTCACATGTCTATACGTATTTATAGTATAGTAAAACCGTAAATATCACTAGCAAAAGTATGTCAGTGGAAAGCGCGAGAGAATCCCGAGAAATCTATGCGCTAATGCGTCGTCTGTGCACGCTCCCCAGTTTCCACTTTCTAAACTGGCTAGACTGCGCGCGCAGTTTATAGTTCAGGAACTACTAGTCGCTCGGGCGCATGAAAGTTGTTTTATTGACATTTCCTTATGCGGAGGATCATAATGCCGGCGCAGGCGTATGCTAAGAAGCCGCTGCACCAACAATGATCTAAGAACAAGTCAGCTGTAGACTTCAATCTCATTGGCATTATAAAGTTATTAATATTTCTGAAATGACCAACGGTTATAATTAAGTATAACGTCCTTCAAGTACAACTCTTTCCGCCTCAGAGTCGTTTTTCTTAAAGAATTCCTCAATCTTCATTAGTAGCGTCGAGATTGACAGGTAAGGTCGTTCGTAGCCAGGTCATTATCGAAAGTACCAGTTGTTCAGATAGCTCTTTTGTTAAGTTTTATTGGCTTGTCATTATCATATCACCTTATTTGGGTTTAACGATTTATTAATCGGTACCCTGACGGATTGTTTGTTCATGTATATCAAGTGTCTATAAATTTTATTTCTTTTGACTTATCGACAAGTATGGCAGTTTTTTCGATTTTTTTTCCATAAGTATTTGTTGCAACGATATGTTAATTAAAGTTGACTGAAGTCATTTTTCAAAATGTTCAGATTTAAATTTTATAAGCAAAGCTTTATGTTTTCGTTCATTTGGAACTAAAATGTTACTAACATCAAAATAGTTTAGGTAGTAACAGTTTTGTCATTGATGTTCAAAAGTCTTTAAAGATAAGATTTAAGTCAAGGAAAACCTTCCTACCTGTCTAAGTAATTTATCAATCGTGTTATTGAAAACATATCTTGTAGACCTTTATGATAACATTACCAAGGTTTTCATGATACCTTTATTTGTATTCGTTTGTTATGAATCCGGTATGACTATCCTAATAATGGTCTTCTACCATTATAGACATCACAACTTTAGTACCTAATTATCCGCGGAAGACTTTACGGGTTACCGGGGCTTCGGTTTGAAGTAGGAACGGGGTGGTTTCAATAAGAATTTGACACCTCTCGCCTCACTCAAGGCGAAAGAAGTCATTAGATGATTTACCCCCTTAAAAAAGTAATTATCTATATCTTTCGACGTCAATAAATCATTTCCTAAACAACTATTTCAAGTTCCTCTTTCCTTCTTTACAGTGAGTGAAATCGACCAGTACCTATGGATGGTCGGCGGGTCGGCGGGTGCGCTGGCGCTGACCGGCGTGGCGGCTGCTTCGGCTTTCTACCTCAGCACGAGACCGAAGCCCGAGAAGCCTCTCGTCACTCTACACGAACAGAGCCTCCTTGAGTCGGTAAGCATTACTAATTATTGGCAGAAAGTTTACTGAACTAACAGATTCATACAAAACATAATATAATATTACTGCAACTGCTAGTGTTCGGTCGAAATTAGTTTCTGTGATATGCAAAATTATTGTTAGTTAGTGTCTTGTATAAAGCATATTGAACCAAAAAGAAAATTGCCCAACGTAATATTGTAAGGAGTTGTACTAGCTTAGCTAGAGGAAAAACAACGTAGCGTTTCGTATAATTACGTAACAGAATTCGTAGAAGGACACAGACCTACCCCGGTGATGTAATGTTAGTCAATGGACCCAGCTTTGTTTACACACAAATGTGGCTTCCATTTACGGACTCAATTAATAGCCCAAATAACAAGGAAAACAAAATACACTCAAACCTAGTTCATGGCCAAAATAGAGATTATCTGATATAGCAATCGTGGACCTATTGTTTCAATACATATTGTGGGGTCAATGATCGATAAACACGGTTTGTATCAAGTTGGCGATAAAATAAAGCATACTCTGTCTGCGTATGCAAAATAATCTAGAATTTGTTGACAATAGGTACTTTGATAACACATAAATAAAATGTAATGAGATGACAACTTAATGATTGCACAGATAAAAATATTATTTATGAATAGGTATCTCTTAATCCTATAAAATATTTTAAAAGTTGTTATTAAATTATGATGGTAGGGTTTCCCTCTTTTTATTGCGGTATCAAAGTTCGAGTTGTCCTAATACCAACAGCCGACGATCTCGAGTTGGCAGAGCGCATCTTCGAGCGATATTTTTAACTCATTGTACCACGAGCAGCCCAGCCCGCTGCTCTCCTGTCAGTTCCCAAAAGTCTCTAGCGAAAGTGACGAGATACTTGCAAAGTCCGCCAAAGTGAATCGGCCAACAGTATTAAACGGGACGGTCCATTCACACGACATTACAAACTGTGAACTCTGAAAAGTGTTGTGAGTCTAATGAAAAGTTAAAACGCGTTCCATTAATTAAATTCTGCGATGATTGCGCAACATAAAACGGTTTAATTTAAAAGAAACGGTGCATTTTATTGAGTGATAACATTTAATTGTAAAAATGGCGTGCTGTGATTGCTGTATCGGAGTCCCTCCGATTCGACCTCCGATAAGCCTCAGCGAACAATCGGATGCCCTTAGAGTAAGTGATATAGCTTGTAAACCTTCGAAGACGTAATAAAAATTACATTCACGAAATAATTAAATTAGCAATTAAGAATCCTTAGTGAGAATTTTGTAACAGCTGGAATTGTTGCGAAAATTATCTACGCTTCTATTATGAAATTAAAATAAAATATAATGTTAGTGAGCATTCAGATCGTTCGAGATAATGGTGATTAATATGTCAGTTTGAAACAATAAAACAATTAAAGAGAATGCTTGAAGTGTTTTGTAGGATAGAAGGAATAATATTGCAATATTTGCATAGTGTTGAGTAAAATTGATATGTATTGTAGAGGTCGAAACATTGTTAGACGTGGCTCACGCCCCGATAGTTGGCAGAGCTCCGTAACATTTAGAACATTTAGATTCAGATCATTTAAAAGTCCCACCGGCAAAGATACATGGTGGTACTGATTAGAAATAGAACAACATTTAATTCTAGATAATTCATTTCTACAGTCACAAAATTAGTCAAGATATTTGAAAGAGAATCGAGTAATGATGTTTTATTGAACACTGCCGTAAATGCGAGGTGTCGAAAAATGTTATTAATAATCAACTTGAGTATACTAAAATAATTGAAATGTTTTATATTTGGCATATGTATTAATCTAAATATATTATTATGGTTTCGGCTTACTCACGTAATGGGGATGATGACAGGGTATGAAAATTAAAAATATAATTAGTCCGTAAGTTAGGTAATGAAAAAATATTAGAGACGTATTTTTTTATTTTGTCGTATAATAAAACAATACTTAGATAAAACGAATCAAAGTTTAGGAGTGGGGGCTAAAACGTCATTCCTTAGTATAAAATGTACTGAGAAGTGACGTCACGCGACACTTCAAATCAATATATCTTCGAAACTATTCGTTTCTGTGAGAAAATAAAAAATACGTGTCTAATGTTTTTAAATAATCTATCAGACGGACATTAAAATAAAAAATTAGTCGTCTACCCCATTATTTGACGGGGAACATAATAATATATTTAGTATGTCCCACGAAAGTTATAATACAAATATATTAATCTAAATAATAAGCAATTGATTTTTTTAATGAAATACCTCTTTCAAAATTAACAAAAAATTAAAAACATGTACAATACTTCATAATACGTATTGTTATAATGTGAACGAAGTACTGTTTATTATTCATATAAAGTTCAAATTCGTATTTGCTCTTATTAAACTAATCTAAACTTTTCTCTTTTTCTTTCCACCCTTATCTCAGGCTATTTGGCATTGGCACAATGTCTGCGGTTTTTCATTAGGAGTCTACTCCTATAGTGTGCGCTATTATGGTGTAGAACATTGTACACTTTTTTATTTGGAGAAAAAGTGAGACAATAAGCGAAAGCGTTCTCTTAAAAAATAAATTGGTTTGTCGAGCAAGAGATTCAAAATTTGAAAGAAAGGACAAAAATTAAATATCTTTTCTATAATTTTGATGATTTATAGTTTTGGATAAAACGATGATAACTGAGTAGTTATTTATCAAATGGTACGGTAAACTAGTATTACATTAAAACTTGTTGACAATACTTAGTCCACAATATTTCTCGTCTCTGTCAGATTTACGAGTCACATCCTTAATATCTAAGTAATACCAGCCATAAACCACGGAAACGTTAACGCAAACGTAATTTGTAAAGACTTAACATAAAACAGGCGACCTTAGTGCTAGACGTTATTTGTAACGTCGTTAGTTTTACTAATGTTCTTAATAAAATATCTAATAAAAACAACTAGAGGAAGTAATGACTCCACTCTTTGATGTGTGGGAGATTTGTACAAACCTTACTTCTTATAGCTCTATGGCACTTTTTCTAGAAGCTTCATAAAGGATTTCCTTTATTTTATGAATGCCTACTTCATCCTCTTTTTCAATGGCCGCGGATCCTTCCTCAAGATTGTTGCTTCCGTTTGTTTTTTATGAAGAACTGTTATTCGATTTTTTATGCTTAGAAATATCTTTGTGGATTTTGATAAGTTCTGGTAGTATTAGAACTAGTAAGTAGTTGACAAAAATAAAATATACCTATATATTGAAAAAAAAACAATCCATAACTTTGCTTTGCTTAAAAAGTTTTACGAAATTTGATTACAGACACGTATTAATTGGATTGTAATATTATTATTTTTTATTGTTAAATGACGAACCAAGCAATCTTAATTGCTTGGTTTAAAATTGTGGATAAGTGGAGACTGTGGACTCTGTGTGTGGCCATAGAGTACCAATGGTTATCAAGGGTCATGTAACGTAACGAATTTTAGTGTTGATGTCATTGCTATAGATTTCGAGTTACACCTACATATTATTTATGTTTATACCTTTGAGTTTGAAGCAAAATAGATTTCATAAAATAATGTAAAGTGAATCTGTTTTCCATCAGAATGTTGAAGTTTTATAGCAGTGTTCAATAGAATGACATTAAACACAAAATGTTTACATTGGAGGTGAGACAGCTACATCGATGCCAAATGCTAATCAGTTAAAGCTTGGTTATACTAGAAAATTATTGAAAAGTTAAATGTTATATTAACGATTGATATGCTTTCAACAGGTAACAAATACTTTAACGATATATATATTAACTAACGCCGTGAAAAGTATCATGACTTTTCATGACGATATTTATTATACACCCATTTATTTTACGCCTTAAAAGTTGGTGATAGGTCCGAATTTATGATTTTTTATGGAAGAGCTGTACGAAGAGTACCTTTTCCGTATTGATATATTCAGTGCGTCGTTGGTCAAGTACCCACAAACGCGACAGTAAACTTTCAAATAATAAAAGGCTTTTTTAATAATGTCCTATTAGTTATTTAAAAAAATGTCTTGAGTTTCTCACTGCAAAGAATTAAAGATCGCAAGTGATTGTAAACCACAACTTATAGAGCACAGCCGTTGTCGCTTAAATTAATATCATAATTATACAATTTTTGCAACTGTTATAATATTTTGCGTAAACTCTAAGCAGAACCAGTTATGTTATTTAGTCCCTTTTACATGGAAATAATAACTGGTTGTGATAATAGAGGCTCACCCATGAAAAAATAAATAAAAGCATGCGTAAAATGTAAGGAGTGTTTGCAGTATACACCACTTGTTCGGTGTTGTCAGTGTTCCGGTATTTTCATGGTTGTGTCTATTGTAGACCCAGGCTTACAGGAGTTGCAGCAGTTTTAGGACCACTTACCACTTCAGAATAACCTTATTTCATGTTGCTTATGGTCTTAGGATTGTATCCTCTATTTTCTATTCATTTTCTATTTGATGTTGTCTAATATTTTATTTTCCGTTATGAAGTTAACTAATAAAAATGATACCTTCAATAAATAGTCATCGAAGGTACTGTAGGGTACCTGGTATTAATCTCTTCGTAAAACCCTCTGCTAGCCTATAGTAGTAGTAGTATTTGGCATTTTACTTCTTAAAGCTACAATTTTATGCTTTGTAAACTGGTTTATTCTTGCACATAGGTACAATGTGTCTTTAAAGATTGTCTGGTCGACAATGCCTAAGGCGTTAAGTCCGCCTTTACTCTTAACATTGCGTACAAAGTAGCATGCACTGTATTTATTATTATTGTTTGAATCCATCCATCATTATTGCCTCACGTTTCATGCAAACTCATCGTTATTAGAGCTAAAATATATGAATCGGTCCATTCATATTATTGCACAAAGATCTGTCTTTAGAATTGTAATGATGCTTTATGACTGCCGTTTACTTCCATTCACATAAGTAACTCAGAAGATTATCCTTGATATCTTCACGAGAATGTGTTTTGTCAAATCTT